GGCTCCAGAAGGTCGTGGAATATGACAACTCGCGGCAACAAGGCATTGGGAATGCTGCTCAATATTTCAGTCATTCTATCTTGACCAGCCATGAACCCAAGGGGGCCTTTCACGCGTCCCAACCCTAAACCCTAAACCCCTAAACCCCTAAACCGACTGAGATCTGAAGATCGGTGCAGTGCCAAGGCATTGAACCGCAGCCCGCCGCCCTCAGGCCCTCCTTCCCTCGTATCCGCAGGCTACGCTCGGATCCTCTCGGCCTAGACTTACCTTTGGTTAGTAGGGAATGGAGGAATGGGGTACAATCATAACTACTATTACTGCCATTCTTCCATTCCCTACCAACAAAGGTAAGTAGAGGCTAGTTCCTTTTTGGGGTTCATATATAGAATTCGAAAAGGTAATCCCAAAAAGGAACTACTATGGGGCCTTAGGGTGGAGGCAACTTGCAAGCTCCGACATGCTTTGCCTTCGCCTCTGTCGGGCGGCATGCTTCAGCCTGCTGCATGGAGGAGTGACATAATCTGTAGTTGCCTTAATGATTAAAATTAGGGTGTGGAGGCCCATTTATATACTTTTGTTATAAGTAATAAGGAACCCCCAAATTGTGTAGGTAGTTATTGAGGCCCCTATAGTACTTATAAGGCAGTTCATCATGGCTTCAGCAAGCTTCAGCTACCGCCATGGTGGCCTGGCCGACCCGTATGTTGTTTCGGCTCCACGCGAGACTCGATGCTTTTGCAGCGCTGACTCGTCAGAGTTGAAACCATGCGGTGCGCCCTGCACTGTACAGCTTGAAACAGGGTAAATCGCTCCATCCCAGCGCGACATCTTCGCTGCCTGGGCCTGGAACTTCCCAATGTTTTAAGGTTTGGGCTCTCGCCACCGTCGCGCAACACAGGATCCGGCCTTTCTTTCAGGTCAATCAGAGAGGCTCGTTATCCGTGTATAACGCCAGTTTGAGTCTAGCAGGCTGGACTGACGGACGTTCTGCGCAAAGGTTCATAGGTGCGCGGGCCAAGTTCCGGCCCCTCTCGCAGGTCAACCAGCATCACTTCATGTCCGACTTAGACTTGTTACCTGTATACCTAACAGCTATTGCTATAACGCTATAAGATAACTTAACCTGAAGTTTGCTTGCCGGTCATTGCTGGTTTATGGTGGTCGCTTCGTGCGGAAGTTCCAAGTTATGAGAGCCTCCGCCGAGAAAATCATCGGACTAGGCGAGAATCTGTGCAAACATGTCCGTCGCACAGCTTCTCCCAAGAGTCTTTCGATTGCCTTGTGCTGTTCAAAGCACATGCCTCTTGCAAGCCAATCGCTTGCTGATGAGCTCATGACCGCCAGCTAATGGCTGCGAAGTTTCTATCGAAGCCATGCCGGCAGCGCAGAGAATTTCAAGAAGCTCCAGTACCACTATCCCGAGGCGACAGACTGTTCCTATGCCGTCCAGGCAGGAATCACCGTTCCGCTGTTCGGAACGGCTGCTGCGAACGGTCTGCAAAATCTGTGAAGGATTTCACATCCCGCTCTGGAAGACAAGTCGGCGGCCAGTAAGTCTCGGCATCACAGACTTTCACCGTGCGAGGCCAAGCGCTTTACATGCCCAGAGCTTCGGGGCTCTCAGAACAAAACCTGCTGAAAATCAGCTTCGAACCACGCGCGACGACCTCATGCAGGCGTTTTGGAAAAAGCTTTGGCTCGGAAAGGGCGGGACGAACCCTGCAAGTGCCAGCCTGCGGGCCATCGGATCGCGGTGTCTAAACACGTAAACACAGGGGGGCCTGGCTTCTTGACTACCAGGCACCTCCAACTGTCCTCCGTGAGCTTTCACCATGGGAACCGCAAGACGGCCAACTCCGATTCAGAAGAAGCCGACTCTTGCAGAACATTGGGTCACATTCTTACACGGATTTGGAGTCACGGAAGTAGTGACTGGCAACCTGGGAACACGTGCTAACGGACGCACTAGTATGGTGAAAGGACCAGGCAAGAAGCTGAAACTGAACAGCTGCCGTACGCCAGCAGCTGCAAAGAGAGAAGGTGCAGCTTGCGTTGCTGATTGAAGATCTCACACACAACCTGCACCTCCTTGAGCGATCTTGAGCGGCAGACTATACATGGAAGTCCTGTGGCGTGCCGCGACGCCGCACCCGGGGCTAAGAGCCGGACCAGGACAGCACTATACAAGCATTCACGCACTTCGGCAAAACTCCCGTCAGGAATCACCGAAGCAGGCCCGGATGACAGGTCGCCTGCGCATAGCGACAGATCAAACCAAATGCAAGATCCTGGCCGCGGCTGCTCAGTCAAGATACCCTGCAGTCTTGGGAAGCCTCATTGTGATGGTTGCGGGTTTCCGCTCGCGTGTCCCCGCGTGTGTGTGTCTCTGTCTATCTGTCTCCCTGCCTGCCTGCCTGTCGTTTCGTCTGGCTGTGTGGCTTGTCGTCGTTACATGTGTCTGTGCCTATTGCTGTGGGATATTTGTGCGTGTGCGCACGCATGATGGCGTGCGCGCATTGGTTCACAGTGCTCGCGTTTAGAACAATGCATGTGTATTGTGCATGTACAGACGTTTCAGTACACCATTCGTGTGTGTGTGTGTGTGTCCGTCTGTGCTTATTTGGTGAAATGTGGTGTGTGTGTGTGTGTGTGTCATACATTACCTGCACTCATACAAACAAACAGGTGTACATACATATCCACAATTACAGGGTGGAGTTTTATTTCGATCCTTTGTTTTGTTGGTCCTTGTTTTTTTTTGCCACGTCCTGTTATTTACACAGGATGCTGGCTGCATGTGTCGCCCCGCTGTGGTGCCGTGCACAATTTTCGCGATTTGATGTTTGGGCCCCGCGTCTCATTTTCCGCACAAGATGCTGGCTGCGTCTGTCTCCTGCTGTGGTGTGGTGCCCACCGCTCGTTGACGTCTCCCATTTATACTTGCTGCTGTTGTTGTTGTCGTTGTCATTGTAGTTGTAGTTGTCGTTGAAGTCGAAAACTAATGTAGTTGAAGCTAAACTCCTAGGTGTCGTTGTCGTTGGTAGGTGTTGCGTCTGCCGCCGTGCGGGATGGTGCAATTCCTCTGCTGGCATGCGCTGAACTCGAGTTTTGGCACTTTCGTCACCTGACGTTTAACTTTGCTTTTGCTTTCGCATCGGTTTTTGTGTTTTCTACCAAAAAAGTGACCCCGCCGGCGGGCTCCAGTGTGCAAACACATGTTCGGCCCTGCATTTCGCATCGTTTTTTTCTGTGTTTTGCTGTGTGTGTCGCATTTCGCAGCGGTTTGTGCAGTATTTCTTGCCGAATTTCGACTTTCTGCACATGCTGGCTTCGACTTGCACTTGAGAGCTGGTCACGAAAGCTAGAAGCACGAGGTCCGGTGCTGAGCTCTGCAAAGTGATGTGCACGACAGTAGCGGAGGGAAAGTTTGGGCCGGTGAAGGGTGCAGGCGTTGCTCGTTCATTTAACTCTTGAGAAAGTAATGTGCGAACGACAACTAGAGGTAACTCTGGAGAGAAGACCGCACTTCAGTCGCCGAACGTCAGACACAAACAAAACCAAGGGACCTTGAGGAGGGGGGGGGGGAGGGGGGACCTCATGATGGGGGGGGGCCCCCCCCCCCCACCTTATCCCAGGCACAACCACCTTAAAGGAGGGGGGGGAGGGGACCTTATCAGTGGAAAACGCATAATGACAAGGTGAAGGGGGGGGGGGCCCCCCCCCTACCCCCCACCTTAACTCTTGGACGTCCCACCTGATAAGGTGCAAACCCTGTTTTTTCCCTAGTGCCTTAATACAAGTGAATTGCTAAAGGGCAACTCCCGCGAGCTCCACAGAGCTAGCTTTCGTGATTTGTCTTTCAGCGCTGTGCGGGGCTTGGGGGGGGGGGGGGGGGGGGGGGGGGATTGTGACGTCCATGCGAACGCGGCTTGTATCTTCTGCTTCTCTTGTTGTTTCCTATGTGTCGCATTTCGCATTGGTTTTTACGGTGTTTTTGCCGATTCTCGCATGCCAGCTTAAACTTGCAATCTGTCTTTCAGCTCTGTGCGGGGGTGGGCGGGGGGGGGGGGGGGGGGGGGGGGGGGTGATGACGTCCATGCGAATGCGGCTTGTGTCTTCTGCTTCTTTGGTTGCGTTACTTCTCAAAAGCTACCAGTTGCTCTGTCAACCCGTGCTTGCCGTTTCTTGTTGCTTCACTTTGGAAACGTCCACCATGAAAAAATCTCGCGTTTTTGAAGTTTTCCAGAGTTTTCCAGACAAAAACTTCCAAAATGAGCCTGAAAATCAACATAAATCAAACACGAAAAACATGGTATTTGCGACACTTCCGCAAAAACCAGACCAAAATCACAAGACAAAGAACTATAGAAATTTTAAACTCCGATACATCGTCTTGTTGATGAGAACCACACAAAACACGGGGCTTTCTACTTTTTGACTAGAAAACCTCCCAAACATAAACGACACGCCCCGCGTGGCGGCAGACGCAACGCCTTCCTTGTCGTTGTAGTTGTAGTTGTAGTTGTAGTTGTTGTTGTTGTTGTTGTGGTTGATCTTGTTGCGTTTGTGGCTGTGGTTGTGGTTGTGTTGGTGTTGTTTCTGCGTGGTGGTGTTCGTTTTGGTGCTGTTGGGGTTGATGATGTTGTTGCTGCAAGTTGTAGTAGTTCTTCTTGTTGTGGGTTGCGGTTGTAGTTGTCGTTGTATGCTAGTTGTAGATGTTGTTGATATTGATATCGTCATTGTCGTGCTTGTGTTGTTGCTGTTGCTGCTGGTGTTGTTGTTGTTGCTGTGGTGGTGGGTGTGTTTGTTGTGGTTGTTGTGGTTGTTGTGGCTGTTGCTGTTGCTGTTGCTGTTGCTGTTGCTGTTGCTGTTGCTGTTGCTGTTGCTGTTGCTGTTGGGGTTGGGGTTGGGGTTGGGGTTGGGGCTGTGGCTGTGGCTGTGGCTGTGGCTGTGGCTGTTGTAGTTGCTGTTGCTGTTGTTGTCGTTGTCACGAATCACAGCATGCTATGTGTACGTGTATGTGTTTGTTTGTATGTGTATGTGCTTATGTGTATGTATACGCATGTGTATATGTATACCTATATGTACAGCAGTGTGCACTGTACAAACCAACACACACATACATACGTACATACATACATGTATATACACATGTGTATACATGACCTCTGTGGCAAGCACAGAAGATACGCATCGACATGTACACCTTTCTCTCTCTCTCTCTCTCTCTCTCTCTCTCTCTCTCTCTCTCTCTATATATATATATGTGTATATATATATACATGTACATATATATATATATACATATATATATATACATATATATATATATACAAATGTATGTGGATGTGTATACAAATTCATATACAGACGCATCCTTTCTTCCTGGGTGAGGGATCAAATAAACTATTTTAGGGATCAAAAAAAACTAGTTTTTTGCAGAAGCAAAATACCACGCCAGGGCAGTGGCAGTGGCCACCCACTGGCAGTGGGATCCCTCGCGTTCTTTCACACGCACAAGATCGAATATCATCCTGCCGTGATAAAGACGCTGTGTTTGCAAGTGGAACAGGAGCATAATTGCATCATCCTGCCAGCAAAGACAGAACCCATCAGGTCGTTGCCTTTGCAAGTGGGGGGGGGGGGGCTGCTGCGCCCCCCCCAACTCCCGCGCTTGTCTTTTTAAACCGTGAACGCTTGCTTTCCAGAACATCTGCCCGGTCCTGCGCTGCCCTGCCCTGCCCTGCTTTAGTGTGTTGTTGATGGTGCGATGTTCTGGAAAGCAAGCCTTCACGGTTTAAAAAGAAAAGCCGGGCGGTTCTTCCTTTGTTTCTTTCTTTCCTTGGCATTTTTGCCTATGAAAAAGTGATTTTTTTGACACCGGAAATAGCTTTCTTTTAATCCCTGAAACAATCTATTTGACCCCTATCCCTTCCTTCCTTCCTTCCGGGGTTCTCCATTCGTTCCGTTTTATCTTCCTTCCTTCCCGTCTTGCTTCCTTTTGTTCTCCTTCCTTGCTTCCTTCCTTTCCTCCTTCCTCTCTTCCTTGCTGTTTCCTTCCTTCCTCTCTCCTGGCAGTCCTTCCTTCCTTCCTTCCTTCCTTCCGTCCGGGGTTCTCCGTTCGTTCCTTCTTGTCTTTCTTCCTTTCTTTCTTGCTTCCTTTTTCTCCTTCCTTCCCTCCTTCCTTTCTTCGTTCCTTCCCTCTTTCCTTCCTTCTTTCTTCTGGCATTCCTTTCTTCCTGCCTTCCTTCCTTCCCTCATTGCCTTCGAAGGGACCCCTCCAGCAAAAAAATGATCAACAAAACCAAACAAACAAAATACCTAAAAAATGCGGCCGCCATTACATACCCACATACATACGTACAGACATACATAGTTACATAGGTATATACAGATATGAAGATATGCAGATCCACACAGATATATATATATATATGTGTGTGTGTGTGTGTGGATGTCTATGTATGTATGTGTGCGCATCTACATTTTCATAGTATGTATATGTGCACGTATTTGTATATGTACATATATATATATATGTATATGTATATGTATATGTATATGTATATGTATATGTTTATGTATGTATATATATATATATGTGTGTGTGTGTGTGTGCGTGGTACAGTGTGATGTTAAATTATATCATACTATGCTACATTGCGATGTTCTATTATGCTGTGTTATATGATACTTTATGTCGCTATACCGTACTATACTCTACTATTTTAAACATATTGTTTAATACTAAGGTAAATACTATATAATATATTATTACGACATATTCGTTTATGTTGTACTATACTATACTATGCTGTACTATAGTATATGCAATATTGTAGTATGATACACTATACTACTATACTGCATGACGTTAATGGGTTAATATTGGACTACATTCATGATGAAGTATGTGCAATACATCTGCTAGGTGGTGTATGTGCATGACAGACTTGATGCAAGTAAACAGACTGACTACCCAAAGGGGTTCGTAATTCCTATTCCTTACGACGGGAACGTTTACAGTTGTCTGTTTGTATCTGTCTGTCCTATTGATAGGTATGCTGCATGTACTGCTCCACTGCATGCATACATACACATAAATGCAAACACAAAATGACAACATGTCAGTGGCTCTGCAACTACACATATGGTCATGTGCGCGGCATATGCTGCAGGATGTGCTGGTTGTTGCAGGCTTCTCGCATCTCTAAGAACAAGCATGCACCTATTGAGCGAATGAAGCTGAAAGGTACCGGGCACCGGTGCCTCGAGTTCGCTCCCGCAGCAGGCGTCAAAATTCCCAGCACTTCCACACCTGCAGGTCACGGGTCAGAACTTCTGCTTACGAGCCTCAGGCGGATACTGAAGCCCATCTCTTCGTAATCCAGCTTGAAACCACGGCCAGCACAAGCTTTATTCTGTTCGCTCAGACTGTTGCAAGCCGGCTGCCACTCCAGTAGACGAGGAGTCAGCAGAAATCCAGAAAAGAAGGCCTCAGTTGCCAGGCCTATTTTGATTGAGCTTCTATGCGAAAGTGCCCGTGCTGAATAGGATAGTACATGCCAGTTTATGAGAATTGGTTTCCTTGCCAAGCTTCGACCTGCTTCACCCATCTGCCGGGAGGAATCCAGATCGCGCCATGCTGCAAGAAGCCCAGAACCTCATCTTGCACGCACAAAACTGCAGCATATGAAGACTGTTATGTTCAGGCAGAACTACATGTATGCATCTGCTATATATGTATGTACATATTTGCATATGTGCATATGGACATTTGCATGTATTCGAATGCATACTTATGCATTAGTGATCATTAGTGTGTCTCTGTATGTGCCTATGTGTTTATGCGTGTGCGTCTGTTTGCGTGTGTGTATGTGTCTGTGTGTGCGTCTGTGTGTCTGCAGGGCGTTCTCTGTAGCAGGGTGTGAGTAGGTGCGCGCGTGTGAACGTGTTTTCGTACAAATGCATGCACACTGATTTGTGTGCTTATCTGTGGTTCGAGCTTGTGCGACATGCGCACATGTAAGAATGTAAGACAGACTCGATTCCAGAAACCTGAATGGATCGCTCGGTCACCTACCTAGCTGCAACAAACCACAATGTCATCAGTAGCTCTGCAACGAACCGCGGCCTCGTCAGTTCAGAAGTGCTGCAACAAGCTCTGGCTCGAATAACTACTGTGAAATGCTGTAATTTAGTATGTTGCTAGGCAGGTTGCAGCACATAGATACATATCAATGCTGTAGAATAAGCATCGTGTAGCGGAGTACATGCGGTGGTAATCATACTAGGACTTCTGCAGCTGGTTTGCGGCTGTCAAAGATCAAGCTCTGCAGGGATGCGTTGAAGGCCTCGGCACAAACCAGGTATCGCATGCTCCTGCGGAGTACATAGCTTCCGGTCGTCTTCCCACCTGCTTGCGGTTTTTTGCTGCAACATGCAGCGAACGACCTTCTGCCAATTCCGTCGAGATACATCGGTGTCCGGAATTTTCGCCAGAATATGCACCACCTGAGTGGTTTGATTCGGCCGATCGCACAAAGCGTCGCTCGACTTTCAGGATCTTAGGCAGGCCACGTCCTCCTCGCGAGAAGCCTTCCACAGGCATATCCGTGCATTGACAAACATACCAACGCAACGGCATGCAAATACCATTCTATGCAATGCTGGCTTACAACAGGCCTCCATTTCACGCACATCGAGGTCTCGCAGCTTTGCACCGGTACGCACAAGGCCTTCCTGCAAGGCTAGAGTCATGAGCGCTGCCCATGCTGCATGTCCCGAGTATTTCTGGCAGTCGAAGTTGTGGTCCTTGTCGCGCAGCTTCAAATGCGTTCGAATCCCCAATTTGCTGGCCTCCCGAGAGATCTCGTAAACACTCCAGGCCAGATAGTGTTCTTAAGGCACTGATACGCTTGTCGTCCACAAGTCACTAACTGGTACAAAACGGTACCAACCGAAGCAAAGGCATCATGCAACTCACCACCAATATGCCCTGCGACACAACTCCAGAACTGCCACCGCAAAAGCTCCTTTGCCTGAGCCATCTCTGCCTGCAGCGCGCCGACAGAGGTTTAGGATTTCAGGACGCGTTGCCACGATTCTACGTGCTGGAGCTGACACCATCCAGCAGCAAGACATACCGTAAGTAGGCTGAGCTTCCATACACCACGCCCTGCCGAACACTCCGAACTCGGCATCCACCGCCACCACTTGGCAGAAGTTCGGGTCCTGACGACGTGAGGCGCATACTTGACTAACAGTCTGGCTAGCTTGGTGGCCATGCCTTTTTTGGTGCTGTCTGACACCTACGAATAGCGTACCACTTTGATCGAATATGATCGAATTGTGCGGCCAAGGTGCTCTGGCTGCCAAGAAAGCCATCATTTCATCAAACTTGTTCATCTCCTGAGCGTTGCGTCTTGCACGGTCATGTGAGTACGGCTGCCCTGACGAACAAGGCACACCCTGTGTGCTTCATTCACCACCGTTTGAGAGAGCTCTCGCTTGCCCGGGTCGCAGTCAAGACTCGCACTCGTCACCTTCGTAATACCTAGGTCCAGCTTCTGAGCAAGTAAGTACAAACTGCAGAAGTGCATCGGAAGGAGCGAGCAAATGAGCAACCCAGGAAGATGAAGAACCAAACCCAGAGCAGGACCGTGAACACTACAATAGCAACCGAAGCCAAACCGGAGATTAATGTGTGATAGGGATAGAAAACAACTAATCATTTGAGCTGAAATTGAGAATGGAAGCACACCACGCACTGCAAAGCACGCGAAGGCCGGCACTGTTTTCGCTGCTTGACGCAGGCTCCATCGCATGGTCTGAGGCGTTGAGGCGTTGACAAGCCTTCATACGACCCCTCAGAGTCCGATTGTGAATCGGCTTCTGGCCAGGCCAGAAAGCGATGCAAGTAAACAAGCGTACGACATGTAGCAGCAACGCGGCACCTGTCTCTGGTTCTCTTTACTAGTGCGATACGTTCCATCCAAATCAACGCTTGACGAACGACGCTCGCGGTTCTTTTGCCCGCAGGTTTTGAAAGCCAGAGCCCAAAAGAGCGAAAATCATTGCACTTGAGCACCAGTGGTGGCAGATTCACCACTCGCCTCAGAACAACTCGGGAACGAAATCGCGGCTCTGAAAGGTGTCAGAACAGCTCTGCTGCACTGCTTTTTCTGCTTTGCAGCCATGGCTCGCCAGTCATGAAAATCGGCAGTTGCGCTTCCTGCGTTCTGCAAGAATGCAGCAAACGAGCGGTGACTCCGGGAAACCAAAAGCGCCAAGAGTCCTCCAAGGGAGTGACCACAGTCACCACCTCGCTACCCCTGGAGCCGCCAGGCATCGGTGCGCCTGCGTCCTGGTCCATCGACCACTATCATGCGCATTTAGGCGGGCGCTTGTGGCGCTGCCCGTGCCAGTCCTCGAAGGCAAGCCGGTACACATCGTCGTAGTGATCGACGAAGTGGGCTGTCAGCCCTGGCACGCACTACGTTGCAGGTGGCTTGCAGGCGAATGCTGGACTTGGAGAAACCCAGATCCTGCCTGCTCGAAGGTACGGCTTCAGCTCTAGGTAATCTGCCTAACAAGGACTGGGGTGGGGCAAATCAAATCCGATTCGACTCTCTGAAGTATCATTCTGCAGTATGTCGACTCCGCACAGGGCACCTGATTCGACATGGGGAAGACAAGCATGTCCACATTCTCTCGTCTGGCGGCCAGCGTCTTCCTCAGTCGCAGGAAAACTCGGCAAATTTGTGCCCTGAGACCCAGCAATGGAGAGCCCGTGCGGGCACCGCCCAGCGACGGTGCTTTGGTGGCAGCCACCGGGCCGGTGGGTTGGAAGTACAGAATGAATATATATATATATATATATATACATATACATATACATATACATATACTATATACATATAGTGAGCAAGCACAGCAGTCACCACCAGGTCGTGCTCCAGTTTGCGCACCAAGAGTCTCTTTGATGCCGCCGACACGGAGCACCTTGCCTGTCAATGTGACCTGTGCATGCCACCTTTGCGGTAGCCGAAGCAAGACAGAGTGATGCTGCCAGTCATACGGCGGAGATCCAACAAAAACCGTGGCTGCCTCGCCGGTCATGGCCATGTCGCGCTTCACTGGCCGGTCCAGGGCCATGCTAAGCCTAAGACTCAGTGGCTCAGCTATCTGCAGCATATTATATTAGGTTGTGATATAGTATAGTATATTATGCTTCGTATGTCGTATGATCAGAACATATTATGTTATATTCTTTTACAACTGACTACAACTAAACAGTACAATACTATACTGTACTATACTGTACCATACTACTCAGCCAACATCCTATGGAAAGACGTATCGTACACACGGGTACTAAATGTAAAGTAAGTTATAAGCTATCATTGCAAAGCCGGCGGCTCTGTCTCGGATGCCGGGGAGCAAAGCTGATGTCATTGTTACTCCGGCAGATGGCCCATCCTCCCGGACGGGATCATGCGCATGCCCGAGCAAGCAAAAACGGACCCCCACTAGCCGCTCCTTTGGAATGGCACCCTCTGGCATGTTCATGTGGATGTGTGCCTGGGTGCTGTGCTTTTCCTGCGCTTTTGCGTCGGACTCAGGAAGCCTAGGGCCGAGTGCAGTGCAGCAGAGCCGCGTGATCTAGGAACTCATTCTTTGGCTCAAGCTCACGCAGGAAGATCCGTGCATAGGTGAGAGCGATCTCACTGGACTCGCCCATCACCTGGCAGCATCTCGCAAGCCGGCAGAATCAATCCCTTTCCGTCCAAGTATTGAGCTGGAAGGAGTGTCGACAACTTACCCTATTCGGGGCCCCCTGTCTCCACAGTTGCTCAGATCACTCCCCGAAGCTACCGACCCTTTTCCAACGATGTCAGCACAGAGATCCCGGCCTTTCCCAGCTTTCCGGTCACCTTCATGCGCGGTCCCGCATTCTGCGGCCGCGGGCTCTTCGAGCTAGATGATGGCCTTAGGCATCGCCATCTTCACCGGCAGCCGCTCACAAAAACTTCGGATCTTGTACGACTTCGTCGGACTTTTCAAGGTGCATTACAAGCATGCAGCATGACAAACGAGATCCTCGCAGAACGCCTTCCAACACTGCAAATCAAGTCAATCTGTAGTCACGTAGTCGCTAGTCTGTTAAAGACAGCATGAAGTGCAGAGGCTGCTCTCTGCTCCATCCCTGCATTCTGCTCTCTGACAAACCGAGCAGCGTATCGCTGGTGCTGTCAGCTGCTGCTGTTACATCCAGGGATGGGCTATCCTCTGCCATGTCGTCCTGAGCTTCACAAAAGAGTGACTCCGACATACTCCTATGCCGACGCCGCGTTTGCTCGCATATCTCTAATCCAAGACGCCGTGCTTTCAGGCACGCGACCGCGGGCCTCCGGCTACTCAAAGCAGCTCCGACACGTCCGATTATATCTGCATTTCTCAGCTTGCCTCCACAAAAAGCGTTTGGCCCCCCAATGCTGTCCAGGCTAAACCCATGGCGACACCACTCGGGGTGTGGATGAAAAGCCTTGGATGCATCTTGTACCCTGGGCATGTATGTGCATGGGGCAGTCTTCACGATCGACGCATCATGCTTGCAATGGAGGCACCGCTCCGAAGAATGCGGCGGTTGACCTCATGTTACATATGGGGGTTTCCGAAAATAGGAGATCCTAATGTAGTACCCTTCATAGTAGCATCCTGGTTAGAAGGATCCCAAAATTAGGTGCCCCTATTTTCGGAAGCTTCCATACCTTTCCTGCACAAACATACAACGCCTACAGTCTCGGGCTCCAGCCGACGAATTTCCGCAAGTTTTCTGTAGAGATGATGGAGCGCTCACGCGCTTCTTGCTCCACGCGCACAAGGCTCAAGGCCACTTTCCTTACAGACTTGGGCTTTCTCTCTTCACGTTCTTCACTGTAGCTCAAGGATCCCTGGTCCGTCTACATCATGGGAGCTGGGGCAGAATGTTGCTGTAAGCTGCCCTTTGGTCCGAGCATCCGCGTGATCTTTTCTAAAAGCTTTCGCAGCTCTCGCACGCCTGATTCACGTGCGTAATCGCGGATGAGCTCCGCAAGAGCCTCACGTGCAGCGCATCAGCAATGTATGATTGACAAGTTTTGACAGCAGCCTCTGGTTGCAGCTCCATGAGGTCTTCGGGAACGCCGTTGGTGGTCTGCGGGCACAGTCTAATCTCACGGCCCCTCTGAGATGCAATGATGTGGAGCCCTGAAGTTGATCTGAGAGGCGATGGTTTGAGGGATCAGGTACTGGTTGGCAATTGCCAGCTTCTCTTCATAAACGTAGCCGGCCAGCTTGATGACCTCCATACCTCGGGTGAAGTTGGCCCGTCTACATAGCTGCACGGCGCAGAGCAGCTGTAGTAATTGTAATGCTGGCATGACACGGTCTAGAAGAGGACCTGCCAGGGCAACGAAGCTACACCACATCAAGTCATCTTGACATGTCAAGCAGAATGAAGCATTCGGGCCCGGCCTGGGATCGTGTCTGTGACGTTTGCAGTACAGATGAAGAGCACTTTCGACAGGTCTATGGGCACGTCCTTAAGAAAGGCCGAAAAGTCGGCAACACATCGCAGGTGATCGCTCTTTCGGAGCCAAGAAACCAGGTACAAGTCCCTGAAAGCGGAGTTTTGCTCGGGATCTAGAACCTCGAGCAGCGCCGAAGAGGGATCTCCACCTGCAAAGCATGGAATTCATGACGTCGAACCTTCTGCAGATCGAATTTGGGACTACCCCAGCTGGGGTCTGCGCGGAAGTCGCGACCCAACTTGTCGACTTCGTCCACGAGTATGACGGGATTCGAAACTTGCCTTGGGATGCAGGGCTTGTTTTATTTCTCCCCTGCCCGAAGGAGTCAATGTCACGTGATGTCACACGTCACAGAATCATAGATGCAGTGATCGAGTGGCTTGATTTTCAGCGCTTGTATGATTTTGCCCGGCATAGCACCAACATATGTTCGCCGATGCCCGCGAATCTCGGACACATCGTGCAACCCGCCAACGGAGAAGCGGAAAAACTGCCTCACAGGGTCTCCGACGAGATACAGTTGAATGCACATGACATACATCCAGACAAACGGTGAATAGAAAGTCAGGTGAATCATTTGGGCGTGTACTAGTACGTGTAGGTGATGGAAGCCGTGAGCGCTAAGCCGTCAAGCCGGGGCTGTTGCGACAACCCTGCCCAACCCCATCCACCTGTCCAAAGCACGGGCGATGCTCTTGCCGATAGAAGTCTTGCCAACTCCAGGCGGCCCAACCAAACACATGATCTTCCCATGCACAGAGCCTGACGGAAGGCTGGTTCTCTTTGGCTGGACTGCACAGAGTTTTGGAACTTGGCGCTACCCCCATGCCTTTCAGGAAGCTCACGGCCATGTGTTCAAGGATTCGCTCCTTGACATCCTGCAACACTCACAGTGTCATGGCATTGTGCTCCTGTGTCACGAGTCCTCCAGGCTGTAGTGATCCTGACAACTGAGAGGCTCAGTCATGTTGGTGCACGAATG